ATTAAAATGTCGAGAAGCAATCTGATTAGATGGTAGAAAGACCAGCCAGCCAACCTTGAAGCTTTTGTTATTGGGCCAATAGATCAGTCGTTGGTCATTTTCGCCATAACATTTAGGCTGATAGATCAGCCCAACCGTCTCAAGAGGGTTATTTAGATTGCATAATCTTTGATGCAAACATAATAATATCCCCATTTTTATACATACTTTGTGATTTTAACAACAAATATATCTATAAATTGTTTGATGTCGAAATTCTTATATTAACTTTATCAATTTCTGTAATTCCAAAGAAAAGGGCTTGTGTGAAAACCCCATATGCCAAAGGCATTGATATACTAATTGCAATTGCATTGTGGGAATATCAACCATATATCAATACCCATCTCACTGTAAATGTTCAATTAGCAAACACTTATTTTCCAAGGAATTATAGATGATTAATTTTCTGAAATAAAACTACTTGTGCATTTTAGCATATGTCACGCTCCACTATTATGCAAATGCCAAAGATACTAGTGCAGTCTATTTGATTAGCACTAAACTACTTGTGCATTTTAGCATATGTCACGTTCCACTATTATGCAATGCCAAAGCTACTAGTGCTGTCCATTTGATTGGCACTAAATTACTTGTGCATTTTAGCATATGTCACGCTCCACTATTATGCAATGCCAAAGATACTAGTGCTGTCTATTTGATTAGCACTAAACTACTTGTGCATTTTAGCATATGTCACGTTCCACTATTATGCAATGCCAAAGATACTAGTGCAGTCCATTTGATTGGCACTAAATTACTTGTGCATTTTAGCATATGTCACGCTCCACTATTATGCAATGCCAAAGATACTAGTGCAGTCCATTTGATTGGCACTAAATTACTTGTGCATTTTAGCATATGTCACGCTCCACTATTATGCAATGCCAAAGATACTAGTGCAGTCCATTTGATTGGCACTAAATTACTTGTGCATTTTAGCATATGTCACGCTCCACTATTATGCAATGCCAAAGATACTAGTGCAGTCTATTTGATTGGCACTAAACTACTTGTGCATTTTAGCATATGTCACGTTCCACTATTATGCAATGCCAAAGATACTAGTGCAGTCTATTTGATTGGCACTAAACTACTTGTGCATTTTCGCATATGTCACGCTCCACTATTATGCAATGCCAAAGCTACTAGTGCTGTCTATTTGGAACAAAACTACTTGTGCATTTTAGCATATGTCACGTTCCACTATTATGCAATGCCAAAGCTACTAGTGCTGTCTATTTTGCACAAAACTACTTGTGCATTTTAGCATATGTCACATTACCCTATTATGCAATGCCAAAGCTACCAGTGCTGTCTAATTGGCACAAAACTACTTGTGCATTTTAGCATATATCACTTTCCACTATTATGCAATGCCAAAGACACTAGTGCAGTCTATTTGATTGGCACTAAACTACTTGTGCCTTTTTGCATATGTCACGCTCCACTATTATGCAATGCCAAAGATACTAGTGCAGTCTATTTGATTGGCACTAAACTACTTGTGCATTTTCGCATATGTCACGTTCCACTATTATGCAATGCCAAAGCTACCAGTGCTGTCTATTTGGCACAAAACTACTTGTGCATTTTAGCATATGTCACGTTCCACTATTATGCAATGCCAAAGCTACCAGTGCTGTCTATTTGGCACAAAACTACTTGCATGATCAATTCTCTAGCTAATCACTTCTTGCCACCTTTTGCCCAATCCCCCTCCCGTAATGTTAGTAGTAATATCTGAATATGGGCTGTAGTGCCACAGGGATGGATCAATATCTAGTCATGCGCTGTAGTGCCACAGGGATGGATCAATATCTAGTCATGGGCTGTAGTGCCACAGGGATGGATCAATATCTAGTCATGGGCTGTAGTGCCACAGGGATGGATCAATATCTAGTCATGGGCTGTAGTGCCACAGGGATGGATCAATATCTATTCATGGGCTGTAGTGCCACAGGGATGGATCAATATCTAGTCCGGCTTTTGAACATGGGCTGTAGTGCCACAGGGATGGATCAATATCTAGTCCGGCTTTCGAACATGGGCTGTAGCGCCACAGGGATGGATCAATATCTAGTCCGGCTTTCGAACATGGGCTGTAGCGCCACAGGGATGGATCAATATCTAGTCCGGCTTTCGAACATGGGCTGTAGCGCCACAGGGATGGATCAATATCTAGTCCGGCTTTCGAACATGGGCTGTAGTGCCACAGGGATGGATCAATATCTAGTCCGGCTTTCGAACATGGGCTGTAGCGCCACAGGGATGGATCAATATCTAGTCCGGCTTTCGAACATGGGCTGTAGTGCCACAGGGATGGATCAATATCTAGTATTTTGTCTCTGGTTTCAAATATGGGATTACACTGTGTTATCCCAATAATATAACTAATATATATGTATGATATAACCTTTCTTACAACTATGCTACAAAATCATCACTTTTTCTAACAGTTGAGCAACACCATTCATCTTTATGTTAGAAAAGTTAATTGCAAATAGACACATGGGGCTAAAAATACTATGCCTATGTGTAACCAGTTGCCAACAGCTTCAGCCTAGTTATCTCAAAAAGTATAGCTTTCCCAAAAAGGTTGTCAAATGTTCACACTGTTCATATAATACTGTTTATTGTTTAAGAAACATGATTCTTAAGTCCATAGTTTTAATCTGATAATAGCTTATTTTTTAATAAATTATTCAATTGCTTCATGGCTAACCTTTCCAGAAGCCGTACCACCAGCCACTCCAATCAGAAAAGGCCTTGGTATTTTATCGAGAGAATTCAAGCTGTCCCTTGCAGCACAAACTACCGGATAAGCCATTTTACTGTAAAGTCAAAGCATGTTTAAAGATCAAATTAATGACATTATAGCAAAACCATTGCACCATCTCTAAGGCATTTTTTCAATAACTTATAACATTTTTTTTGTTAATTGCCGATACCGCCATAGCGAAGGCTGCAATCTTAATTTTAACTTAGCCCATTTCAATTTTGTTGCAAACTCTTCATCTTATCAATAGACCAATAAAACTATGATTATGATGGGAAAAGAACAGGGCTTGTGGCATTTCCCAATAAATAAATGGCGTGTAATGACAACTATAGGGTTTTGCCTGCATTATTCACCAAGAGTGTCTGTGATCACAACTAGCTTACAGTGATGCATTGAATGCTATGATTAACCCTGATTATAATTTTTCTTATATATCATTTAAATAATAATAAGGCAAGGCACAAAAGATGGAGAAATAATTACTGAAAATAGTTGAGAACTGGTGAAGTGGGGTTGACAATTTGAGGGAATACTAAATGCAGACAATGGACAAGATTAAGATTATGATCAACCACATGGAGGACCAGACCCTTTAATTTTAATAAACTCCCCAACTTCGGATGAAACTATAGAAGTAATCAACTCTAGGAAAAACTACAAAGCCCTTGGAGAAGACCTCATCTGAGGAGAACTTATTAAATATGGAGGAAGAAAACTACACACTCAGAGACATAAACTTATAACTAAAATCTGGCAAGAAGAGAAAATTCCAACAGTATGAGAAACAGCACTTATAACCACAATACATGACATAAGAAAGTTTTCAAACTTCAATGCACAAACTGCAGAGGAATTTCCCTATTAAATGTAACAAAAATACTGACAAACTAATTGCCAAGAGACAACAACCATACACTGAACAATACTAGGTGACTACCAATGTGGATTCAGACAAAATAGATCAACGACTGATCAGATTTTATTTGAGAAAAGTTATGAATATAAATATATTATTGATTTCCCAGTGCAACAAATCTATTTGGACAATAAAATTCTATAATTACATAGTACATAGTTTAATTTAAAAGTAACAAAGTAAAATGAATGATATGGGCATGGGCCTTTTTTTATGCAATAATCATTAATGAAAATGAAACACTATACTATGATTAGCGCCATATAAGTAGTACTAATTACTATTATTAACTATTAAACTTTAACTTTAATCTAAAACTAAAACTAATAATATAACTATAACAATAACTTAGCACAGTGACTTACTAAGACTTACTATACTATAAACAACACAATAATATAGACTGTTACTATGATTCATTTTATAATAACAATGAAATGATAATGGATGACTTAAGTTAGATTTAGACTTTGACTTAGTGTAATTAATTAGCAACTGTAGTAAATTCTAAAGTAACATTCACTAAATCGCCGACACAGTGGCCAGTGGTGTCCAGCCTTTGAATGTACACTGTACACTCTCTCTCTAGCCTACAAGAGAATAAATAGAATAATCAGTATTACTGAGTATTCTATAGTGTATTTATGAGAAGTGATGATAGTTTAGGTTTTCACGTAATCCTTTGCAAAGTCAATTATCAACCAAAGTTGTGCCTAACTTTTTTCTTTAACTTAACTTATAGTTAATATTAGTTAACTTAGCCTGGCTAAACTTAACAACTGTCAAAACTAATGCAAGTCATTTAGTTTATAATAATTAGTTGGTGTGACCTTAAATAATTGCCTGCCTTTGTCCCTATTCTGGTTATCTCCAGAATGCAGATTTTTTATATTCACAACAAATAAAATATATTTTTTTTTTTAAATTCTAAGTAATCACTTGCATTATTACATTTTCTTCGGACAAGTTCATGCAGCTAAATATGGAAATTGTGCTTTACATTAATAACCAAAATTATTTGCACGTCATTATCCAAGGAGCCAATGTGAGTCAAGTATACCTAGAAATAGAGAAGTAATAAATAAATCTTAAAATTTGATGTTTAAAGTAGTTAGTTTGATAGTTGAAAATATTAGGCATGATGAAATTCAAAATTAAAAAACACGCTTAAAAGTAAAACTAGAACTGAAAGGCTTTCGTGCGAATAGCTATTAAAAAATGTAATAAAAATAATATAAATTTATCTCCCCTGTTACAGTAAGTCTACATGTTATGGGTAATTCCCTGTACCCTCTTGAATGATAAGCTTACACTTACGCTTACAGCCTACATGAAACTGATGAATTATTTATAATCCGCAAGTGATTTATTTTATATATGGTTATCCAACAGGTCACACTCCTCAAATTAAGATAGATATCTAGAAATAAAAGTTATTGCAAATTTAATGCTATTACTACTATTACTATTAGACTATTAGAGCAGTAGAGCGGTGTTTAAGTTTAATGAATGGGGGGGGGGGGTGGAAGGATTATTGATTATTCAATCATTTCATTGTGAAATATAATCATATTCTAGGATCATATCAATCACGTCTATCAATCAGCAATTAAATAATTAAAATGATTGATACTACACATATTTTATGCTTACTTANAAACCTAAAAAAAAAAAAAAAAAAAAAGCACTAAACTAAACCTTAAATAAGGGATTACCCCCAGCCCCAGTCCAGTCACTTCAAGTAAGTGCTAGTACTACGTTAGTTAATCCTGCATTCAAATTTAATACTAGTTAAAAGTTAAATTTAATACTACAATTTACAAGTCACTAGTGACATTATGATTAACTAGGTACAGGTAGGCGATAGAACTAATAGAAGTTTAGACCAGGGGTTGCCAGCTTCGCTTCACAGGCCATTTTTATAGTGAGTTAGCTATTCATAGACTGTATGTCATTTATTAGGGGCTGTCCATGGAGTACCTTATGCTATTTTTGGAAAAAATCCCTCCCCCCCCCTACCCCCGTATATTGCAAACTTTCAAAGAAAAAAATTAACAACTTATTAAAATTTAATCTAAAACACCTTTAACTATTAAATTGATAAAAGTGGCATCTTCTGTCAGAAGACATCCATCAAAACAGAAAGTTCAACATCCCTGTCAAGTTCAGGTTTTACATGTGTGATAAAAAAATTAGAAATGTTTTAAAAACTACCACACCTTCTTAGACTCCCGTCCCCCTTCTGGACGTCCTCATAGACCTAATAAATGAAGATAAACACTGAATAAAGGCTATACAGAACTGTATTAATGTGCTAGGTTTTTTTATCTTTTCTCTCCCTTACTTAATGCCTTAACTTTTAAACATCTATTACCATATATATTTGTTGGGGGTTAGCGTTTGCCAGTGATTATTTGATAGAAAAAAGGGTTCCCATTCTGTCACTTAGATGGGAAAGGAGAGGGGTTGGGAGGGAAGGAATCGAAGGCTCCCGATTGAAAGGGGGGAGAGGCTCGGTGAAAGTTTGGTGTAGCTTGACCTGGTCGGGTTTACACAAATCCTTACTTTTCAGTGTGTTACTAAATAGTATTTTTGTTTTATAACGTTTATTTAAGAATCGTGATGATTAATTTGAAAGAATTAATGACAATTTGTTTATTCCATTATTCCTTTGCTGAACCCGTACAAGAAACTAACGTCACATATCTGATTTTGTAACTTTCATAAAATAATAAAGAACAGGATTAGCTTTTTTTTTTAATCTTTGAAAAATCCTTGTGTTACATCTGACATGCCGCTGGCCCCATTATTTAACAGATGGGCTGCAGGTTGGCCACCGCTGGTAGGGACTAGAGAGAGAGAATAGCCTTGCAGCACTTACGACTTATTAGATTTACATTTCCATGATATGGGCTGAGGCATATCTTAGAATCTATCTCATCATAATCTTTTGTCTAGCCCTAAGAAATTATAAGTCATATTATAAATTAAATTTTAATATAATTTTTTATTTTCAATCAGCCAAATAATAAGCTAACATTAGTTAGACCTAGACCTGTTTTATAAATTATGTTTTAGGCTCCATGACAATACTCAGTAGTCAGTTCACGCTGTTATATATGCCAACAGTATTATCACTTTAGACCTGTACTTACTTAACTTAGTATAATTCAAGTAGAGGCCTACGGGTAGGTATTACTATTCAATAGAAAAGAGAATGTTATAATTATTCAGTTCATTTACACTAACTTACTTATCAATAGTCTATAGAAAAGACAGTATAGACAGCTATAGTATAGAAAAGTCAGTATAGACAACTAAAGTACCGGTGTGCAACAGCCAGTATAGACAACTGAAATACCGGTATAGAAAAGTCAGTATAAACAACTATAGTATTTTATTTTTTTCAAAGTACAGAATGGCAGTGCAAGTTAATCCGCCAGTGTTTTTTGAGAATGGTGAGCGACAGTCTGGTGGTTTTTTCCGTGGCATATTCACTATAGGCTTTGATCACAAATTTATCTGTCGTCATTGTGGCCGCATTCTTCGTGATCCTGTGCAAAGTCAGTGTGGACATAGATTTTGTAGAAGTTGCAGAGATGATATCCTGAAGTGAGTATCTTAAAATTATTCTGCTTATATATTTGATTTTTTTTTAAAGTTCTTTTACCGTTGCAGTAAATTGTACAACAACAAAAATTGCCATCAAGAGCTGTATTAACTCTGTTCTGCTTCTAGTATGTCACTTAGTTACAACATAGCTAAATGGAGCTAATGAATTAAATACAATTATTACTTTCTATTTACTCTATGGTCTAAAAGAATATACAACAGTTTTCACCCAGTTTTCAAATTGAGTTCTATGACTTAATGACTGCTCCACTTGTAGTGTAAGAGATCACTTGGTGCTATAATTTGTCTTCATTTAGTTTACTGACATTTTATTCACTAGTACTAAATCAAAGCTATGACCAGGGGCTAAGACAAACACACTGCACCCAGATGGCAAGGCACCTGAGAATGTTTAACAGACCCCGACATTTTCAAATTCAGTTTATACACACAAAAAAATAGTTCCAAAATAAATATCCAGGATCTTACATTTCACTAAAGAGGCTGACCCCTGAATTATTTTTAGTTTTTCAGCACAAGACAATGCAAATTATTATGAATTTCTAGAAAAAATTAGAAAATGGCCTGGTACTGTTTATTGCCAGTTAAATTAACTATTCAATATTTTCATTTCTATAATGTTATTGTCATAAATTTCTACCTATTGATTCCCATTTCCAAGTTGACCTCATTTTGGCTTTTCATTATCCGTTGTAACATTTGGTCACAAATAAAATGCCCTTCTTTTCTGTTAATTGAAGAAACCAATGTGGTTGAGAGCTAACTCCATCTTTTCCCCCAAAATAAATTGTCCCTCTTGATACTTATGTCATTATTAAAAAATGGATTTGTTTGTTTTAAATGGTTCTAGGGACAATAGAACTGTGGCCTGCCCGGGATGCTTAGAAGACCAAGTCGATGAGCATGAAAGGGGCACTTTAAACATCAATGAAGTAACAATTTTGTTAACTTTAACTAATGTTTATATTTAGCTTATTAGCAAGTTATTGTCAAGGCCCCATGGTACAATGACAAGGTCCTGTGTTAAATATCAAGGCCCCATGTTATAATTTCAAGTGGTTGTGGGTTTAAGTGTTTTGCCCAGCTATTTGTAAAAATAAGTGTAATCTGGGGAGGACTGCGTTCAAGTTAAAGCAATATGAAATATAACACACAGAGAAGGGGGCAAGCTGAAAGATCACAAATGTAAACAACAAAGGTGTCGACTAAAAAGCTGTTGTGCTATATTTCATACTGATAAAAATAGCTTGGTGGAAGTGACCAGTTGTAAAATAAGGTAAAACATGAGTAGAAAAACCTCTGACATCAAAGTCGGAATTCAGCAGCTCCACTGGCCTATGATTAAACATCGTCTACACAAAAATAACTTTGGCCTTACTAGCTAAGTTTGGACTGCAAGAGTACAAACCCAGGACAAAACCATTGGGGATTTTTTTATTTTGATAACATCAATTTCTCTTATTGTGTTAGAAGACAAATAACATGATTTTGTAGTTGTAGATTAAGTTGATGTTAAAAATATATTTTCCCAGATGTTTCCAGACAATGCTGTCAAGAGAGAAATGTCCAACATGGCAGCTGCTTGTGTCTTCCCAGGCTGCAGTTGGAAGGGGAGATTTAAAGAATATGAGGTTTTCTATTTATCGATCTTATTTTAAACAATAACAATTTTTGTCATTTGCAACCATTTCTCTTGAAAAATAAATGTTTTAAAACAAAATAGGTCCAAAGGTTAAAATGATTCCAAAATAAAGATTACTGAATTATTTTTTTATTCTTTTCATTTGGGAAAAACAAATTGTACAGTAAATCCATGTAACTTTAATTCTTGTTTAAAAAATCTACTTTATTCATCTTGAAAACATTGCACATTCAAGGGAAAAGAACCAAAAATTGGGAAACATAAAGTTTTAAAATTTACTTTCGAAGTATTGTAGTGTTCTTCCTTAGGAAACCTGACATTTTTGGGGCAGCCAGATTTTGGAGTAAGATTGTACAATATTTTTAAAAAGCGCAAAACTAGATTGTGAGTGTTTAGTAAAAAAAAAATATGCCTTTTATGGGGGACATTTAATAAAATATCTGCCTGTTTGGGGGACATTTAATAAAATATCTGCCTGTTTGGGGGACATTTAATAAAATATCTGCCTGTTTGGGGGGCATTTACTAAAATTATGGAGAGGAATTCAGAGATATTTCAATGCTATGAAAATAAGGTTCTAGACAAAGTTTGGTTACAGATATATTCTTGGTATAAAAAAAACTAGAGCACATATAATATTTGCTTTGTTTTATTTTATGAAATTAATGTCTCTTTTGCTAATTTAAAATTTGGTTTCTACCTGAATAATAACTCCAATGTATGGTCCAGGCACACGAGAGGAGTTGTCAATTTAGGCAACTGGCCTGTGCTCTGTGCAGTCAGCCTGTCGTTGACGGACACATGGATGAACACCGACGCACCACCTGCCAACATCGTGTTGTCACCTGCAGCCACTGCAATGAACAACTGGTGTTTGCCAGATTGGGTGTAAGTGATAGATTTGAACAATTCCATGATAGTATGATAGATCAAGAGAGACAGAACGTCATGTTTTATAGAAATGCTCCCTTACATTTTCTGCCTGCCTTTATTTTATGGTTTAAATTTTTTTTAAAAACTTGTGCAGATGTAGAAAAAGCTGTTTTTTCAATAATGAATTGTAAACAATCTCTTTTGATTCAAGTTTGAGTGAAATGTTTATAATCTGCTTGACTTCCTCCAGGAACATAATGAACAGTGTCACTTATTGCCTTTGTTTATAATCTGCTTGACTTCCTACAGGAACATAATGAACAGTGTCACTTATTTCCTTTGACATGTGACCTCTGTGGCCAACCTTGTATTAAAAGAGAGGAGGTCAGTCTGTTAATGATAAGATATGTTTACTAATTCTTAATTATTTTTAAATTTTTCTATTTCTCTGTTACTGAACCCAATGGGCTTAATTTATCATTATAAATGAAAATGGTAGCTGGTTAATATACATTCTGTTACATAAATTGTTATGATGTGGTGGCATTTGGGATGTTGATGTGACATCATGACCTAGAAGAGGTCATATTTGATGTGACACTATGAGGTTGGGGAGGGTTCATTGTCGATGTGGCATCATGAGCTAGAAGAGATCATATTTGATGTGACACTATGAGGTTGGGGAGGGTTCATTGTCGATGTGACACCATGAGCTAGAAGAGGTCATATTTGATGTGACACTATGAGGTTGGGGAGGGTTGATTGTCGATTTGACACCACAGATGTATGCTTGTCCATTCCACAAATATCCAAATTTTAAATCTTAGCGTTGCATTTTCTTCCAAAATTCCATGAAATAAAATGTGATAATGTTTGTGTGTTGAATGTTTACCAGATGAAAAAACATAAAGAACTCATTTGTCCGAAGCGCTCAATGAATTGCCCAATGGGGTGTGCAGAGAAGGTATGTGTTGCTCAATTTCTCAAGATTAGACAAACATAGTATTTGTAGGCCATGTGTGAATATTTTGACACAAATTTATTATTATCTAAATGAAGTGGTAATTTCGGTAATAATGTTATTTACCTCTGCCATCCAAATTGTCTTGTGTTACTTGTGTCTTGAATGTTTCGACCATTGAAAAGGAGCCTCTGTGAAATATTTCAAAATTATTGAAAATTAATTTATTATATTTACAATTTCACTATAAAATTTTCAGAAAAACATTTTATTTTGTTCAGGTTTGCAAGACAATAAAAAATGTTAGGAATAAAACTGTAATTTTTTTTTCTATAAAAGGGTGTGCATTTTTCGAGGTCAGATTTGTACATAAATTTAATGTTTTCCTAAAAGTTTCCACAAGACAAGTTCTCCGAGCACCTGAGCAAACTGATAGAGCCTCATTTGGCCTGGACTGTTCAGAGGCTAATGCAAATGGACCTGGCACTGAAAGACACGATCGGAGCACGACCCAATCTACCTCAGGCAGAACTAGCGCACATCATGGAAAATATAAAAAACATTGAAAAAAAGGTGCCATGTTTTGTGTTACTTGTATTTTTAGTGCTACAAGTTCATCATGATGTGGTTAGATTTCAATATGTTTTAGAGCTACAAGTTCATCATGATGTGGCCAGATTTCAATATGTTTTAGTGCTACAATTTGGTCATGATATGGCTACATTTCAATATATTTCAGTGCTACAAGTCTGTCTGAATGAAAAAAATGAATCATTGTCATACTTAAGAATATCTGAAATTTAAACTATTTGATTTGTTGACAAAAGTGAATGATTATAAATGATCCACGTAGCCGTAATTGTTCCAATTGTGTTGGCCGTAGGTTGTGCTCTTTGAGAGACAGGTGCAGCAGATCAACCAGGTGAGATCATCAGGTGTAGGATTAGCTGCTGGTGAAGACAGCGTGAGTCTATAGTTATTACATTTATGATATAGCATCCTTTAACGTGAGTCTATAGTTAATACATTTATGATATAGCATTCTTTAAATTGCAACCCCTCTCAGTAAATCTCCATTACTAACTTTCTTTCAAAATCTTTTGATTGCCATAGAAGTCATCTATATGTGATATATGCCCAAAAGTCATATGTCATCTCCCCTTCCCCCTGTAGCACCCATAAACCCTCCCATATGCATATGTATAAATGAGCCTCTCAAGCAGAGCTATGTGATTCTATTTATATTAAGTTATGGCATACTGCTAAACCATGTTAATAAAGCCTATCATGGATTTTCTTTTTTTTTTGGCAACCGCCACTAGCTGTTGAGCGTTGCGAGTATCAAAACACCTTCATTATATTTTTATTAATTGACATTCATTGATTCAGCTGAATGAAATAATTAATTTATAAATTTGGCCACCTGCACGGAGCCAAACACACATTGGACTAAATAGATCATTCTGAAACAATGTGGGGAGTTATATACACAGTGGACTAAATGGATCATTTTGAAACAATGTAGGGAACCAAACACACAGTAGACTAAATAGATCATTCTGAAACAATGTGGGGAGCTATACACGCAGTGGACTAAAGTTGTCACTAGACTAACTAGATAAATCCCAAACAATGTGGGGATATTTATATAACTTTCTTATGGATTGTCAGAATTTCAGGATAATTTTGCAGGAAGTTTGCATTTTAACATATGCACCCCTGCGAAAACACTTCTCCTGCCACGCATATGCACTTGTACTTGAACAATGTGGGGATATTTATATAACTTTCTTATGGATTGTCAGAATTTCAGGATAATTTTGCAGGAAGTTTGCATTTTAACATATGCACCCCTGCGAAAACACTTCTCCTGCCACGCATATGCACTTGTACTTAAAATCTCCTAAATTAACCAACTCCCATCTCGCCATACTTCCTCAGTTCATAATGTAAGTAAGGCCGCTAAAATTAGTATTATTATTCCTTAGTCAATTAATGAGGAAAAGAAGACTTTTAAGTTACAATAACTATTTTCACATACATAGAAAGGTTTTAACATTTTTCAAGTACCTGTTACTTGCTTCCTATTTTTTCCTGTTATCAGCAAGGGTCAGCAGCTTTGAAGCTAGTATCTTTGATACTTGTAGCTTTGATACCAGTAGCTTTCAGGCCTGCAGCTTTGAGACTAGTAGGTTGGAGGCCAGTAGCTTTGAGGCCAGTAGCTCCTGAGGCTAGTAGCTTTGAGGCTAGTTAAATGTATGTAACAAAAAATTATTTAAACGTATAAACTGGCCATTTTCAAATAAATATTTCAGATTTCCTCTGAGATGATGGCTAAAGTGAGCCTGAAATTGGTTGAGCCTATTCTTGGTGTCATCCATAATGAAGTGGATAGAGCAATCCATGCCCTGCAGACATTGGAAGGCCACTATAGACAACAGCAGGCACAGGTTGGTCATAATCTTTCTAACACAGGTATACACTCTATTTCAATCAAATGTCTGCTATCCACATATTAATCACATGTCTGCTATCCATCTATTAATCACATGTCTGCTATCCATCTGTTAATCAAATGTTTGCTATCCACCTATTAATTACATGTCTCCTATCCATCTATTAATCACATGTCTGTTATCAATCTAATAAACAAATGTCTGCTATCCATCTGTTAATCACATGTCTGCTATCCATCTGTCAATCACATGTCTGCTATCCATCAGTTTATCACATGTCTGCTATTCATCAGTTATTCACATGTCTGCTATCCATCAGTTATTCACATGTCTGCTATCCATCAGTTATTCACATGTCTGCTATCCATCAGTTATTCACATGTCTGCTATCCATTAGTTATTCACATGTCTGCTATCCATCAGTTAATCAAATGTCTGCTATCCGTCTGTTAATCACATGTCTGTTATCCATCTGGCCTCATGCAAATTTTTTAAATTTGGGTTCACTTTCGATTTTGTTGTTTGTGGTATTACATTGTCATCGCTATTTCAGTTTTGATGTTGACATTGTGATAAAAGTGAATCTGAGGGAAATTTCAGCTTTGTCAATTTGTGTTAATTAGATGCCATCGAAGAAACAAAATATTTTGTATAGACTCGACGCCAATTGTATTGCCTTTACTTTGTGTATTGTTTCCACGTTATATAAAGCTGCTTTTTTTTATCAAATGCATTCATAGTTTACTGTCTGTCCCTGAAGAAATCGCTGAATCAATAAGACAATTGGTGCTGAAACATTAATCAAGGCTAATCTTCCTGTCAGGTAATAATGCATTATTCAATGTCAAGGCTAATCTTCTGTTTTAGATGGATGAGATTGAGACTCAGCTGCGTATGCAGCAACAACAGCTTCAACTGAAGGATGCAGCACTGGCAGATCTGGAGATGAGGCTTGCTGCACAAGAGATGGCTCGCCATGACGGAACTATTTTGTGGAAGGTGTCCGGCTTTGAGGCTAAGAAGCGAGATGCTGTAAGTGGGCAGACAACCAGTCTCTACTCGCCAGCTTTTTATTCTGGGCCAGTAAGTTTTTGTGCTGTTGTCAAAATTAATAGAAAAATATTATTGTTAAGTTACAGAACGTAACAGCGTAACACTCGAAATAGGTTCTGTTCAATGCTTATAAAGTAATATCTTTAAACAGGAATATAGTTATTTATGATTGGTTATAGGACCGTCATGTATTTTCTTATATTTGTTGATATGAATTTATATTTATTGGACAGACTTGTGTTTGTGAATTCATATTTATTGGACAGACATGTGTTTGTGAATTCATATTTATTGGACAGACATGTGTTTGTGAATTCATATTTATTGGACAGACATGTGTTTGATCATAAATGTCCAACCGGCTGACACAGTTTTCCGCCATTTTTGTTTAAAAGTTACATTTTTCTCACCAGTGTGGCTATAAAATGTGTGCCAGGATTTATCCTAACGGCGATGGCATAGGGAAAGGTTCTCACATCTCTTTGTTTTTTGTGATCATGAGGGGGCATTTTGATGCTCTACTCCCGTGGCCGTTTTCACAGAAGGTGAGAGTGACCTAAACAAAATCTTCATATTTCAACATTATAATTTCTATTTAGCAGTTGTTAGAACCTGTTTTCAAATAAATTGTGGGGTGTCATCTATCATTGGGGGTGGCATCATCTGTCATTGACGGTGGTTTCATCTGTCATGGAGGGTGGTTTCATCTGTCATGGAGGGTGGTGTCATCTGTCTTTGAGGGTGGTGTCATCTATAATTGATGGTGGTTTCATCTATCATTGTGGAACGTTTCTAGGTGACTCTGATGATGATAGACCAAAACCACAAGGAACACATCGTGGATGCCTTCAAGCCCGACCAAACGAGCTCATCGTTTAAGGTAGTTAGTTATAAGCCAGACATTTAGCACAGACCTTACTGCTATCCTAGGCTGTCTTTCTGTTATTTACTGCTATGCTACACTGTCTTTCTGTTATTTACTTCTATTCTTGACTGGCCTTCTGTTACTTGCTGCTATCCCAGTCCGTCCTTCTGTTATATGCTGTTATCCTAGTCTTGCCTTCTATTATTTACTGCTATCTTAGTCTGTCCTGTTGTTTACTGCAGGAGAAGGAAAATTAATAATTCAAGAAGATTATATTATATTTGGCATTTTAAACATGACGCTAAAAATGACCTTGCGCAAGGGAAGAAGCACAATAAGGGGCTCTAACCAAGAGTGAAAAATTTTTGTTTTTAAATATTATTATCTCTCCTGACCGTTCAAGCTCTACTTACCTTTAGTTAAATTAACCCTTGCTCCTCATCCACAATTGTAATGGTAGCCCTTATATTCATACCAGCGTCCAACATCGGAGATGAATATAGCCAGTGGTTGTCCACTCTTCCTGCCCCTTGACAAGCTCCACAACCGAATGTTTGGTTACCTGCGAGATGACACAATTTTTGTTAAGATCATTGTTGACACTGATGGCCTCGATCGATACACAGAAATGAATCCGGGGCGTTTTGGCACAAGTTATATACCCTAGTCTTAAGCTTTTCCCTCTGACCTAGAAACACTCGAATCTGTTCTGGCTTTAAAGCAAAAATATTTTTTTTATAAGACTGAGCTTTTAATTTTGTTTAAATGTTTTAAGAGCATAAGTATAATTTGTCCATATGTACAAAAGAAATGTAAAAATACCATCTTCTGGCTAAAATCAACATTGACACCAACATCAAAACATACAATAGACATTTCTAATGAGAATGTCACAAATACCATTTTGGTTGGTAGCAGGCTGTGACCCTTACGTTGGTTCAGGCTATATCACTCTTCTTGGTAGCTGGCTATGGCACTTTGGTTGGTAGCAGGCTGTGACCCTTATGTTGGTAGTAGGTTATGTCACTTCTTTGGCAGCAGGTTATAAGTAACAGATGCCTAACCTAGAGCAGTGGTTCCCACCTGTGCTCCACAGAGTCCTGAAGGCTCCACATGCACCTCTTTGATGCTCCAGGCTACTCCTAAACACTCTCAACTTGTAATTCATAGGATCCCAAAAGAAATCGATTCTGAACAGGTTGGGAACCACTGACCTATAGTAATTGTGATCTCACCTTGAAAATGAAAAATGGAACATTTTATAGAAATTAATGCAAACAATCGTAAAGCTGTACCAATAAACAAAGCTGACAGGGCACTCATTTCAATGTAAAAACCAAATCAGTTTAATAGAAACTGTTACTTAGGCCGGTATCGACATGGATTGACTATCATCTTGTCTTAAGTTAAAGTTAAGTACCCAGAATTGTGTATGAATCCCCAAAGTCAAATCAAGTCATCTTAAAAATGTGACAAGTGGTGCAGATTTTTTACACACAAGTGGTGCACATTTTTACACATAAGAGATACTGACCAATACGATGAAAATTATTTCTTTGCACACAAAACGCTTTTACAAAATTTTGAAAATTTTTAAGATTACTAAAATGGAAATGCATTCACAAGTCACTCATGATTGATTACATAGTGATCAGACAGATATCATTATTTGCTGGTTGTAATAAAAGGGGTTGAAATGACAAGGTCATTGTTTACTGGTTGTTACGCAGAGGTTAAAATGACAAGGTCATTATTTGCTGGTCGTAACACAGGTGTTGAAATGACAAGGTCATTATTTACTGGTGTTACGAAGGGGTTGAAGTGACAAGGTCATTGTTTGCTGGTTGTTACGCAGAGGTTAAATGACAAGGTCATTGTTTGCTGGTTGTTACACAGGGGTTGAAGTGACTAGGTCTGCTAAGTTTAAAACAAAATTGACATAAATTTACATTCTAAAAATGTTATAGTCTAGTCTTTTTTATCAAAAAAAAATATAAATGGGCTAATTTAAAGCTTTAAAAAAAAATTAATTAAAAAAAATTGGAGCAATGATAAAGTAATGGTAAACTTTAATGTTGGTCAGTCTTCATGTTTGTCTCCTTACATAATTTAAATGTGTCTACTGTGTTGTGCATTAAATCTGTGTCTACTGTGTTGTGCATTAAATCTGTGTCTATTGTGTTGTGCATTAAATCTGTGTCTACTGTGTTGTGCATTAAATCTGTGTCTACTGTGTTGGGCATTAAATCTGTGTCTACTGTGTTGTGCATTAAATCTGTGTCTACTGTGTTGTGCATTAAATCTGTGTCTACTGTGTTGTGCATTAAATCTGTGTCTACTGTGTTGTGCATTAAATCTGTGTCTACGCATTAAATCTGTGTCTACTGTGTTGTGCATTAAATCTGTGTCTACTGTGTTGTGCATTAAATCTGTGTCTACTGTGTTGTGCATTAAATCTGTGTCTACTGTGTTGTGCATTAAATCTGTGTCTACAGCGTTGTGCATTCTTGCGTTCTTTATATTCTTTTTCACATAGGATTTTTTAACACCCTTTACAGTTGTGTCATTTGTAAGGTCCACATTCGTTAAGTCGTCGTCATTCTGTGTAATTTCGAGTGTTGATAGGTCTCAGGGAAAAGCTTTCAGCCGTAGTCAATAGTAGACACAATTTTGTCTTATTTTGTGTATCGCAAATTCTACTGTAATAACGGATATAAATAATTATGTTTTATGGACAGTGATGTTTAATGAAATTTGATTATTTTCTTTTGGTGCTACTTCTACAGTAGCCAGCAATAATGGAGAAAAGATATCATGTGTGCTTTTACTGTTATGTAACTTCATTTAAAGCATGTAAAGTTGCACGCAAAAAAGTTCTTACAAATTTTGAAAATTTGTAGGATTACTAAAATGGCAATGCATTCATAAGTCACTCATGATTACACAGTGATCCCACAGATTTTGGCTTTTGTGTGTCTGCTAACAAATTTCTTACTTGGCAACTCTATGAATAGAGCAATTGTTTTGTGCAAGTAGTGTAACATTGATGAGCACAAGTAAAATGACCTCTTTCTTGTAGCAAAGTTTGAATGACATTACTATTACTTTACATTTAAATCATATTTATGAGCACAAGTAAAATGACCTCTTTCTTGTAGCAAAGTTTGAATGACATTACTATTACTTTACATTTAAATCATATTGATGAGCACAAGTAAAATGACCTCTTTCTTGTAGCAAAGTGTTTGAATTACATTACTATTACTTTACATTTAAATCCTGTTTTGTTTGGGGAGGTCAAGCGATGATTCAGTGCATAAATATATTGATTTTTTTTATTTAAAAAAAAAGTTTTTATTTAAAAAGTGTTTTGGGGTTGGCCAAGTTACAACTGGAAAATTTAAAGAATGAATTTTACATTTGAAAGTACTCTATTAGTAATCTGGCAAATGTGTCGTCTAATTTTGTGGGTAAAATGACATTTAATTCCATGTGTAAGAGAATGGACACAGGTTCAATTAGCTGTGCCTCTAATTTTGTGGGTAAAATGACATTTAATTCCATGTGTAAGAGAATGGGCACAGGTTCAATTAGCTGTGCCTCTAATTTTGTGGGTAAAATTATGCTTATCAGTTATTTTGTTACAATTACATTGCCTGTAATTCTTTAGGTATGATTTCCTTTTATTTTGGAGTTAAGATTACCTGTAACTATGTAAATAAAATGCTTCAATGTAGTTATACCAACTCTTAGCATCTAAAATCTTAAAAATTGGAATCTTATATTGTATCTATAATAAATTGTATGATACACACACATTGGTGGATCCAGAGCAGGTGGCTGTAGGATCGCAAAAATGGATGTGCTACAGTGCACAAAATTCGTTTCTTTTCTTGGCATTTTCATATTATCTTGTATAATTGAATTGAGAGCTCATGCTAAATGTCCAAACCTGGATCTGTCTGAGTATAGTATAAATATTTATATATATCATATATATGATTTATATAATAATATTATATACTTAAGTGGCTATTTTATATTCTAATTGGGAGAAGTCACTTGGTGCCCCACTCCTACTTATAAAGAGTTTTTATAACTAGAAAGTAATTTTATACCTTGATAGCATCCCAAATAGAAAAGCCACCATAACCAAATGGTTAAGTTGCTCAAGCCACCATAACCAAACGGTTAAATAACACACGCTGCCATAACCAAATGGGAATCGAAAAATCATAAAGTCAAAGTTAAAAGACATTCAACTGAATTATGATAAAACTATTTATGTGTTTTATCTTGATTCTCTTGAATTTAAATAAACTTGGAGCAATATTTAATATATTTCTGTATTATCTATATGGAGCTATCTGTATTATATTTCTGTAATTTCTCTAACTCCTTCCTGTTCTAATAGACACGCTTATAAATATTGATGGTTTTTTTTGTTGTAATTGTGTATGTTTCATGTTTACATTTTAAGCAAATTACTAAAGCAATAATATATATGTACAAGTTAAATAAATGCGTTGTTAAATGTATGTGTACAAGTGAGTCTTTAAAAATAAATGACATTTTTATTTTAATCACATTTTAGCAGTGGATTATCTGCACCTGTTTCTTCAAGTAAAACTTTGTCACAAACGTTAACTGTTTTTTTAAAATATTGGGTTTATTTGACAATTTCAAAGACTATTTTGTGATATAGTTTTGATTATATTATGTTATACTTATTTGTTGTCCTGAGAGATTGTTAGTATTTGTTTCACACTAAAATGACTTTGGTTTTAACATTTGGATTTTAATTAAAATCTCATTAACATTTTAAAACCTTTCATTTTTTTCAATTGATATGTGCAGTTATTGGTTGATAGCTGGTCATTTTTAAACATCTCTTAGCCAAAAAAATGTTATCAAGTTCTGGTTATCTTAGCGAGCTGAATTTTTTTAATGAACAACTTTGTCTTACTACGCATTTTAATCTCACAAAGCTTGGCTTTATCCTGGTTTAACTTACTTCAAAAATTAATGTTGATGTTTCCAATGTCTGCTTAGAGTTTTAAAAGTTAATACAACTTCAAGGGATTAAGTTCAATGATAATTTAACGAATTATTAACAGAGTGGTCTCCCCTAATAAAAGAAACCTTATACGGAAATTTGTTGGAAAGTTTAAACAGTATCCATGATCATTTCGATATCATATTTATCAATGAATTAAAAGAGCCCCAACAATTTAAATTTGTGATATGGGCCACAGTAATATAAATCTTATAAGATTAAGCAACAACTGTAACAATGCGTGTGTAGCAAGACTGGCTGTTTCATAGACAGTTGGTTTGAATAGAATACTTTAAGTGATGGTGTGCACCTGAGGCCACCATGAAGGGATGTTGATAGATGGTGTGGACTTTAAGGCCACCATGAAGGGATGTTGATAGATGGTGTGCACTTTAAGGCCACCATGAAGGGATGTTAATTGATGGTGTGCACCTGAGGCCAACATGAAGGGATATATGTGATTACATTTACAAACAGCTCACTAATTTGATTTGTCAGCTGATTGCCTGTTTGTTTTGTTCAAATTTTAGTCTTGATATTTGCTCATGGTTTTGCCATTGCGTGATATTTGACAATGTAGGACAGTGTTAAAGTTGAATATACAGACAACATCCATCTTATTTTTGTTCACTTTGTTTTTTTTGTTCCGTTTTTTCCGTGTCTAATAAAAAGCTACAACTTTTGACTTCTAGATCCAACAATTTTTGTGTCATTAGATGTGTAGTGAGCTTTAGCAGGTTGCCAATTAAAAATGTGTCAGTTTTATTGCATCTGTAACATCAGCTGTAATATCAGCTGTAATATCAGCTGGAATATCAATTGTAACATCAGCTTGAATATCAACTGTAACATCAGCTGGAATATCAACTGTAACATCAGCTGGAATATCAGCTGTAACATCAGCTGGAATATCAGCTGTAACATCAGCTGGAATATCAGCTTTAATCAGCTGTAATATCAGCTGTAATCAGCTGGAATATCAGCTTTAATCAGCTGTAATATCAGCTGTAATCAGCTGGAATATCAACTGTAATATCAGCTGTGACATCAGCTGTAACATCAGCTGGAATATCAGCTAACAAATCTAGTCAACTGAGTTAATAGTCTTGTATGTTTGTTGTTCATTTGTTTCACTTTGGTGTATGTGGGTTTCTGTGAGTGATTCAATTGTTCGTTTCACTTGGTGTGTTTGTGTGAGTGAGGGCTGGCTTTTGTGAGTGATTCAATTGTTCGTTTCACTTGGTGTGTTTGTGTGAGTGAGGGCTGGCTTTTGTGAGTGATGTGAGGTTTGAATTAAAACAAAACAACCTTGACCTCTTTCCTACATGTTCTTTTGGGGCCACGCTCTTAAGGACACAATAGTCATTTTAAAAAAAGGCACCATGCGTCTAATGTATAATCACTCATCACCCCCCCCCCCACACACACACACACACCAGCCCCCAGCTTAAGGATATCGAACAACCATTGGGAACCGAATTAGGCTCCTGGTCGGAAAGAGCAACTGGGGCTCCTGGATGGGAAGAGCACAATAGTCATTTTAAAAAAAGGCACCCTGCGTCTAATGTATAATCCCTCATCACCCCCCCCCCACACACACACACACACCAGCCCCCAGCTTAAGGATATCGAACAACCATTGGGAACCGAATTAGGCTCCTGGTCGGAAAGAGCAACTGGGGCTCCTGGATGGGAAGAGCAAATGGAGCTCCTGGCTGGCAAGAGCAACTGGAGCTCCTGGCTGGAATGAGCAACTGGAGCTCCTGGCTGAAAAGAGCAAATGGAGCTCCTGGCTGGAAAGAGCAACTGGAGCTCATGCCTGGAAAGAGCAATGAGAGCTCCTGGCTGGAAAGAGTAAATGGAGCTCCTGCCTGGAAAGAGCAACTGGAGCTCCTGGTTGGTAAGAGCAACTGGAGCTCCTGGCTGGAAAGAGAAATTGGAGCTCCTGGTTGGTAGAGCAACTGGAGCTCCTGGCTGGAAAGAGCTCCTGGCTGGGAAGAGCAACTGGAGCTCCTGGCTGGAAAGAGCAAAAGGAGCTCGTGGCTGGGAAGAGAGGCT